TGATATTGCTATAATGATAAAAAAAAAGGTAGTAGGTAGTATTGCTATGAGTTTGTCATTAGCTAAAAGAATAAAAAAATTTCAGTATTATTCGATGGCTTTTGATGAATCAACCAATCACAAACTGCTCAACTGGCTATTTTTAACAGGAGAAAACACTTCGTTGACCATTAATAAAGTTAAAAAAAGTTTAACTTGACTTACAACAGATTAATTTCAATTACAACAAATGGTGGCAGCTCAATGATTAGAAAAAATATTTGTGTTGTTTCTTGTCATTAATTAAGCAATATTTTATTATTCATCAGCAAAATTTAACAGCAAGGAGTTTGGATGTAGAAAATGTCAAGTTGGCATTTCTGGTAAATCTGTATTGCTATTACCTGCATTGCTGAATTGAAAACAAGATTTTCAAAAAGATTTGCAAAAATTGAGAAACATGCAGTGATGTTTTGAGAGAGACATATAATCAACAAAATGTTTTGATGGTAATTTATTCATTCGCAATACAGTTACTGAAGAACACTTGTTGAGACAAATTATGCTTGACATTTTCTTTTTCAATTCTTAGATTATGACCTTTTATTACTGATGCTGGTTTGTTTGCTCGTAAAGATGGTGCAAATTAGTGTGGTTTAAGCCATGTAATGTGATCTATACTGTTCAATAATTTGTACTCTTTTATAAGATTGCCAATTCTGAGTACATTCTGCGCTTTTACTGCTGCTGTGTTAACATGATGCCATTTGATCTCTGTTGAGATCAACATGCCAAGGTCAAGATCTACTGTTGTTTTGCCTAGATTGTATTCAACACCATTTTCTCTCATCATATAAATTGTCTGAGGGTTCTTTAAAGTTTTAATACTTTAAGTCAGTTGCCAATTGACATTAAAAACATTGTGAAAAAAAGGAAAGTTAGTGATTACTAATAAACTATTATTAGAACTGTACCTAACAGCTTATTTTTGTGTAATATTCTTTTGCTAGACCACGTTTCATAAATTTAAAAAATTAATACTTTTAAAAAAAATTTTAAAAACCTACAACCCCTAGTTAACACCTAAAAAGCTCAAATTTACTCTATTCAAAAAAGTTGTGGCCCCTCTGATCTACATTAGTAATCTTAAAGACTATCTTTTAGCCCTAAATCTATGCTGATGACACTAAATTACTCTCACAAGTAAATCCACACAACATCAATAAAATTAAACCTAGCTATAGATAAATGTAAAGTTATGCACATTATGAAAAACAATCTACTTACACTACAACACTAATCCACCATTCAATATTAAGGGATACTTGGGGATCCCTTAATATTGAATCCGAAGGCAAGTTGTATTTATATTAAAAAAAATGTTTAAAAAAATATGTTTGGGGTTTATTTTTTTTATTAAAACTAAATAATAAATGCAAAACCAAAATTGTTGTTTAAGTTAAAGCTTGCCTTTTCAATTTATTCTTGGTTCTCTGAGTCTTTATACTATATGCCGCAATATGCAGACTGCATAATTTATTTCATTTGCATTTAATTCATTACAGTTTCAGTATATTTCTTATTTCTAAGTGTTTGTATTTAGCAAATGCCAGGTCAGGTTTTCCTGCTACTGGTAACATGTAACCCAGTACAACCTGTTACACGACCTGTTGCCTTGATAAATACTCATCTTGGGGAGATGTTAAATGCATTTGACTACTCTTTTGAATACTCGTTCTCCATCTCAAGGCTGTTAATGTTATTTCTGATCAAATTGATCAAGCCCTTTCTCTTTATCTTTTGGCCAATATCATTGTTGTTAATAACTTTAATGTTCATTACACTGAATGGCTTAGCTCTAGTATCAGTGACTCTGCAGGTGTTAAGGCCAATAACTTTTGCCTTTATCAATCTCTAACATAAATAGTCAACTTTCCAACTATAAATTTATATATTTGCTTATTTAGTATTTTTTTGAAATAAGCATTATTTATTGATTATATATGATTAAATACATTAATTTTTCCTATTAGATGTTATGTTTGTGTAGTGCAGTGGATGTTATGTTGCTCGACTTTTGAGGCGCGGTTGTCTAGGTAGCAGGTTTAAATCCTTCATCAGAAACTATTTTATTTAATTTTTAATCTTTTATTTAAAGTAGTTTTATGTTTTTTAACTGTTGTTGTTTATTTATAGTTTCATTACATTATATTGTTACTAATTATAGTTTATTTAGTCGTAGTGTTCATATACCAACTGACTTAAATAGGGGTAGGCGCAAATAATAATTAAAAAGTAAGTAAAATAAAATTTTACTTACTTTTTAATCATATACAGTTGGTATATGAACACTAAAATAAATAATACAAATTTTACAAAGTAAATTTGGTATAATATATTCTTACATTTGATGGAAAATAATATATATTTTGTTAAGATGTGAAAGTTAAAAAAAAAAAAAACTTTTTTTAATATAAAAGTTGAGATAAAGATTTATGCTTATGTTAATAGTTGCACTAATGAAATCTCAAGTTGCACCAATGAAATCTCAAAACCAAATATATTATTTTATTCTAAATTGCATCACAAATTTTTTTTAGAATTTAGTAAAAAATTATAAGATAAATATGATTTGTTGATTGCACAGTGGGCAGTTGGTGCATAAAAGTAAAAAAATCCATTTTCGAAAATTACATTATCACATACCATTTTATATCTTAAACATTCAGCTTTTATAAAATGTATATATTATTGTATAATTATCATGACGTATATGTATATTATATGCCATATATGAATATGCTTCTAAGCTGTAAAATAAAAAGCTTTTTTTTAAAAAACAATATTTTTTAAATTTTTTTATAATTTGAAAATATTATTTGTGTTAATAATAAGCATAGAATAGATGTTAATTTTAAAACCTCTTTTTTTATTGAATAATATAATAAAACCAAGTATTATTTTTTAAACGGGCTAATACAACACTATTTAGCACATAAGTTATGCCAAATAAAATGATTTCAAATGATGACGTACTTGAAGTACTTTTATAAGTTAAAATTTAACTCATATAGTCGAATACTTTTATGGTCCAAAGCAGTCCAGTAATTTGAGTCTTGAAATAGATTGTTCAATATGCATATTATCAATATAAATTTGGTTTATAATCCGCAGATGTCCGCCTGGTCTTTAATAATAATTTTTCACAAGTTAAATGATGCACCCGATTTTATGTGGCGAAAACATTATATGTATTTTATTCTAAATGGTTATGCAATAATTTAATCTCAGCAAGACTAGATTAGTGCTATAAACATTTTTTAACATTTATACATCTTAAAATACCTATTTTGTACCTAAGATTTTGTAAATGAAGTTCATATTATTATATAGTTAAAACATGAAAAATTTAGATATCTGTTCATATATAATACAAGAAAACTTGAACTTAGCTAATATTTTGGATACAGTTGTAAATGGCATAAACTTAACTGCAAATAGTAGCCTGTCTAATTTCATAAAGCATCTTTGACAAAGGTATATATGCAGAAACTCTAAAATTTCTTTTGAAAAGAATAACAAACAATGATTACAAAATGAACCAATATCAGTTTAATTTGTAATTAATAATAAGAAAATTCTACAAACTGCTTCCATTGATAAAGAAAACTCTGCTCTTATCCAACTGTAGTATCTCGCAAGCCCCCCCCCAAGCCCCCTAGGTGAATTTTGATACTTAAAGTGGTAAAACAAAGAAAAGAAGATTGATGCCATTAGTTGCATCATATTCATCTTAAGAACTATTGTTTGCATCAGATTGTAGTTTGCGCCAAGATGGTCAAGAAAAAGAAGTTAAAGCTGTTTTAAAATTATCAGAATTTTTGAGTTTTGGTTCGAAAAACAACTTTAAAACAAAATTTTTATATTATATAAACAAAAAGGTTTAAGCTTTAGGTACCTTTCTATATGGATTATGTAGTAGTTTCATAAAATAAAAAATAGAACCCTGGAACTGCATAAAAATATTTAAAATTAGTATTTGAAAATGTGCCACATTAATATTAGCATAGTTTATAACATTGATGCAAAAAAGTACAAAAATGGTTCTTAAATCTTTTTTATATGACAAGTTATTAGTTTTGTCCAGTAAAAGTAATTCTAGCCCACTGTGGATTGTGGCAAAAAAAAAAAAAACTTTATTTATTTATTTATTTTTTTTGTCACAACCCGCATTAAAATTTTTAAAATTTAAATGTGGATTGTGGCAATTAGAAATTTTTGTTTTATTGATATGCATTTATTATTTAGTTATAATCAAATTTAGCCTAAATATTTTTTTTAAACATTTTTTTTAATATGAACACAATTTCTCTTGGCACTTGGGGATCCCTTTACAAAAAATACATGCAAAAACAACCTTGGTGTTTTAATACTGAACAATATCTGGGTCCTATTCATGATGTTAAAATGATTCTATACTAAGAAGGCAGGGCTCTTTAGTCACAGTGGAGGCAAATTTTCTAAAAGAAGGAAAGCTCATAAACCTTGGATTGTAATCTTTTTAGCAGTGGTATCTAAATAAAAATACCCAGTCTTGATCTGCAAAATACCCAGTCTTGATCTGCAAAATACCCAGCCTTGATCTGCAAAACTAGTTAACACCAGAAAAAGCATCCATTTTGTAATAAAAACATATTACTTATGAAACTACTAAAGAAACCAAATGTAAATTATATAAAAACCTTATTTCAACAAAACTGTAAAAATTTTATTATAAATCAATTTTGCTTAAAAAAACAATAAAAACTTTAAAATTAGTGATAATTAAAACACCACAGCCTTTACTACACTTTAAAATAAAAAAACTATAAATTTTATTATAATTTTTATTAACAAATTAAGCATATAATTAAGAACAAATTAATATTTACTTTATAAGAAATTGGTCAAAAGACTAACCAAATAATATACTCACAAAATTTAGCTGAGTATACAAAAAAAATGATATAAAAAAATAATACCCAAGTAACACTAATCTTTGCACACAACTCACTAAGTCGTAACATTTCTTCTTTGTTAACAACATTACCACCTGATGAGTTTTTCCAACCATTAGATTCCCAATTTTGAATCCATTCTGTCATAGCTTTAAAGATATTTATATTTTATTCTTAAAACTTTTTGTCCAATAAAAAACTAATCTCTCAAATTAATTTTTGAATATCTTAACACTTTAAAAAAAAAATTTTAAACTTTAAAATTAATAAGAATTGATGTGTTTTTCATCTTAAACTGACTATTTATAAAAGCACTAAAATTCACATATTGATAACCATTCACATATTGTTAAACAAATACTCCAGTTTTAAAAGTAAATTGCAAAACCTTATTAAGAATATTTTGATGAGTTTTTTATTGATTGTAAATTTGATCTATTATGGTTGTTGAATGTTTTTATTTACTAATGATATATAAAACTTGTATCTTCATAGAACATTATGATAATAAAACTTGTATCTTCATAGAACATTACCATTCAAAATGTTTAAACATTGTTATAGTTGATAAAGAAACTTTATCAACTATTGTAAGCTAGCAAGCTCTGATTTAAACTTTTGAATTTGATTGACAGTAAAGAAATAACAATAAAAATACCTTTGATCGTATACATGCTGTCTGTTCTTAATTCAACTTCAGGTAGGTTCATTTCAATAGCAGTTTCTAACGCACGACATGCAGCCTAAATTAATACAACATTCATAAAAATACAGAATAGTATTAAACATAAATTTATATTTATTTTTAATACTTTTCTGTATTTTTATGAATATAACAATAAAACTAAAATCTTACAACAAGCTCAGCTTTTTGATTTGTTGGTTGTTCAACATCAAGATATTCACTTACATTTCTAAATGAATCAAAAACTATTTAAAGAAAAATAATTTGTTGATTAACTTTCATTATTTTTTTAGGGGAAAAAGAAGCAGATGCTAACTTTGCAATTGATTATATGGTTTCTATGAGAGGTCAGTAGTGAATGATAATCCAAGAAAACATAAAGTAAAGGACTTGGTGAGGGGGTTGAGGGTACAACTCTAAAACTCAGTTTTATGGTTCTGAGGCCGGCTGGTAGTCAGGTTTCCCGAACTCTGTGGTAACTCTCAGAGAGTCTGATTCCATCAACAACTGAAAAATATCAGAATACTAACAGTGCCATGTTGCGCATGGATGGTGTCCCTGTTTGTACTTTTGGTGTGCATTGCCAAAGCCACATTGGAGCCCTTTGTTACAGCTTAGGGTTTATTAGTGGAAATGAGGCAATTGCTTGAGCTATAAAACAGTGTACTGAGTACTATCTATGTTTCGAGTCAAGTTCTTTAACAAATTTAAAAATGAATAAAGTAACAAAAACTATAAAACACAAAAAACCACAGTCATCACCAAGTTGGCTAAACCTATCATTCACCAATATTCGTGGTCTTCAAAGTAACTTTTCTTCTGTTGAGTCTAATCTCTTGCAAAGTTCACCAGACCTACTTGCTCTTTGTGAGACTAATTTGAGTTCAGCTGTCTCATCTTGTGATCTTAGTGTTGATGGTTATCTTCCTTTAATTCGTAAAGACTCTAATTGTCACATGCTTGGCCTGGGCATTTACATTCGTAAGAATTCACCCGTTTGTCTGTGTGACTTTGTGAGACTAATTTGAGTTCAGCTGTCTCATGTTGTGATCTTAATGTTGATGGTTATCTTCCTTAAATTCATAAGACTCCAACAGTCACATGCTTGGCATGGGAATTTACATTTGTAAGAATTCACCCATTTGTCAAGAAACTAGGTTTGAATCCACAGATTATTCTTTTATGTGCTTTCGTTTAGCACCACTTCATTCTATCACCTTTCTCTTTGTTCTATATCGCTCTCCTTCATCTCAAGACTCTCTTCGTTGTCATTTCTGATCAAACTGACCTCACTCTTTATCCATCAGCCATTATCATTGTTGTTGGTGATTTTAATGCTCACCACACTGAATGACTTGGCTCTAGTGTTAGTGACTCTGCAGGCGTTAAAGCCCTCAACTTTTGCCTTTCTCAATCTCTTACTCAAATAGTCCACTTTCTAACTCACTTTCCAGATAACTCAAATCATTTACCTTCTCTACTCGACTTATGTCTTGTTTCTGATCCTAGTCAGTGCTCAGTTTCTCCACATTCACCCTTAGGTGCTTCTGATCACATTTTGATCTCTCTAAAATTATTATCTTATTCTTCTTCATCATCAGAATCCCCCTATCATCGTACCTCTTACAACTACCTTAAAGTTGACTGGGACTCTTTCCGTGATTTTCTTTGTGATGGCTCTTGGGTAGAAATCTTTCATATTCCTGCTGAAAAATGTGCTTCTTACATAACTTTGTGGATTTAGGCTGGCATGGAATCTATTATTCTCTCTCGACGATTCCAGGTCAGGCCTTACTCTTCTCCATGGTTTTCCTCACATTGTGCTGCTGCAACTTCCAATCAAAATCGTTGCTTCTATATCTATCAGCAAAATAATTCTCCAGAAAACAGACGTCTGTTTACCATTGCTAGAAACCATTGTAAAAAAGTTTAGTCAAACGCCAAAGCCCGCTATTCTCAGGTCATGAAATCTCATATTTCATCACAAAAATTTGGCACTCATGACTTCTGGAGAATCTTTAACAGTATCAATAATAAAGGCAAATCTGTTACTCCACACCTTTTGTATGATTCAGACTTTGTCACCTCACCTAAAGACAAAGCTGAGTTGTTTGCTAAGAACTTTTTATCAATACCATTTCTTGATTCCACTAGTTGCGTTCTAGCTGATATAGTCGTCAAACAGGTTGGTCCATTGCTTGACATTTGTATCACTCAAGCTTCTGTATTTAAAGTGATTTTCTGATCATCAACTGATCTTTCATCAATTGATCTTAAAAAGTTTTTTTTTTTTTTATAGTTTTAAAAAGCTAATAAAAACTATTAACATAAATAAAAAACATTTCAATTATTGATGTTTTCTAAAATAAAACCTTATTTAGCTAAATCATGAATTAACATTAAACATAAAGTATTTTACAAATTTTCTCTTAATACAGATATTTTTTCTTTAAAACACTGATTTTTATTTCATTTTTATTTAAATCAACTAAATGCAGTTTGCATTACAGAAAAACCTCTCCAAAAATGTTACTGTGGTAACTATTAGAAAATATTTTTAAATTAAAGCATTTGGAGACATTGCCAGGTCTAGCAGCCCATTCACTTCAGCTGATGAACCTTGCTTCAAGCTGAATTTTTGCCCTGCCTGGTTATTCTAACTCTTACGAATTAAAATTTACAATTATATGATGGGCGGGTTGAATTTTTCCCCGGGATATATAACCTAGTCCGTTTTATGAAACCGAGCCAGAATTTTCAACCCTCATAAATATCATTTATTGTAAAATTAAAAAATGGCTGCTTTGAAATTTTTTAGCAAAACAAATAAAAAAGAATGCACAGATGTTTGATTTCGTTGGGATAAAGATGACAAAATTTCAAACTTAATACAGAGTTTGTCAAATTTTAAATCTCAAATGGAATATAATAATAAGGATTTCAATGCTGACAACCAAACCACTATGAAAATATTAGGAAAGCTTTAGCTAACATTTACTTTCACCAGCCAAGTTGGTTTGGGCCTGTATGTCCAAATGAAAATGTGATATCCGAACAAATTAAATTGATATATCTCTAATTAAAAGAGTTAATGTCAGAATCTATTTTACAGGTTGCCCTGTAAAATAGATTCTGACATTTGGACTTTTTAAATCAATGGAATTATTGATACAAGGAATGAAAAGAAATGAATAAAAATATAGCTGTATCAAAAAAGTAGTACTCGTTATGCTTTTTTCTTGTGATATAATCAATGCACTCTAGCTTATTTTAGTTATTTATTTTTGTATATATTTTTGTTTTACTTTTTAGTAAACATTTGTCAACAATTGTTGTAAAATTTAGTTTTTTTGTTATTAGTAAAAGTTACCAAAAAATAGTCTAAATTATTAGTTTAAAAAAAAAATTACTTAAAATTATTAAAACATTTTAATTCTAACAAGCTACTTAAAACATTTTATTTTGAGTTGGTGTTGTATGTTTGGTTTTATTGAATTGTCACTGAAAGCAAACATACCAAACATTGTTTTCCTTCTAAATTAAAAAGTAATGCATAAATTAAAAAGTAATGCATAAATTAAGCATCAAGTCAATAAGTTACCAACAACAAATATTATTGTAGTATTCAAAAGCTGTTTTAAAAAGTTTTTCTTATAAGTATTTTGTTTCTAAAGTCAATAGACATAAGAAGTTTAATAAATATTTTGTGCTTCCACTGCGTGTCAAGATGAGACTAGATGAGTTTTTAAAAATATTTAAAAATACAGATAAGTTTTTTTGTTTTTATTTACTCAATAATTTTTCTCCTTTGTTATCGTTTTCGCATATATTTTTCGTATATATATTCACCTTCAGGGTTTTTAACAGAGTAAATACTGTCTGGGTGGTTTGCATCACTGCCATGTCTTTCAATTTGTTGCTCTACTTCTTCATTAAAGTCATAGGTTTTATTTTTTTTGCAAAAGTTATGAAGAACAAAAAAAGTATATATAACAACAGGAACTGTTTCTTTATATTGACAATCTTCCTTAAAAATCTCCCAATTTGCCAAATGTACCTAATTTCTTGCAGAGCGTAACATGTTGTTAAATATAACTTCCTCATTATTTGAAAAACTTTGAAATTCCTTTATGCAAAAACTTGTTAATGCCATCAATGCATCCAAAGGCTTGTATCATACCAAACTTTACTTCAAACTGAAAAACTAATTTTTTCATACCCTCCTTATTTTTAGGTAGATGTAAATATTTAGGCCTAACAATATTATCAATGGCACACAGCTTTTACAGTTTTTGAAACATTGATGAATGCCAAAAATATTTGCTGTCATCCAAAGGAAACCAGTATCTTTTAAGTGATGTATGGTGATTGCTAGTTTTTTGTGCGTAGTTAAAAAACAATACTTTAGACAGGTTTAGGACATGCAACAGTATCTATGCAACAGTATCTATGCAACATAATAGAAGTAAGCTCAAAAAAACAATCTTTTGTCACTTAGAAATTTCTTTTTCAGCATATTCCAGGGACTTCTGGGTTTATGATATTTTGCCACCATAAATCAGTTCTCCCTTTTTCCACCCATAAATTTCTAGGTTTTCCACCCATAAATTTCTAGGGTCGTTGACATAGTTGACTTAATTGTTGGCTGGGAGAGTTGTAAAAAAAATCAAGATTTTTTTTAAGAGTGTAATTATAATACTAATAAAAAATGCAATAATTAAAAATTTTTTAATGATCTTTATTTTTTTTTTTTTACTAATGGCAGAATTAGCATTCAGAGTCAACCAAAAAGTTTATGTAAAAATAAGCTGCCAATTGATGGAATTGCTTTAAGATGTTGAGATTTATTTTGTTTTTTAAAAAAATTGTTATTTTAATTTGACCAAAATGTTTAAAGTGTCAATTTTCTAGACCATCTTTTGCCACTTTATTTTTGTGTTTGCTCATTATCCTATTCAAAGGAGCTAGTAAACTTGCTCCTTTGAATAGGATAATGAGCAAACACAAAACACCTGTGTTTTGTGTTTGCTCATTACACCTCACCTTGCTAAACACCTCCATCATCCAGTCTTTTTTAATGTAAAGCATTTTGTTTAACACAGAATTTTTGGGCTATCATCCCCCAAAAAGGTTTTCTGAGGACATGAGTTTAGGACTGATCATGATTTGGGTATACAGTGAGCCCATTGTGACTTATTAATGCATAATTTATGGTTATTATTTCAATTATTTCAGTTAATTAGTACATGGTTACTTAGTACATGGTTACAACAAATCTTTTAAATGATATTACCATTATAGAAAACTAAATTATAAACAATAAAAAATCATACTTTGGATGATATGGTCCCCAATATACACCGACTCCTCCTACTGCAAAGTTGCTTCCATTACTCAGACAGCAACCATCTGAATAAACTACAGGAGCTGTTGGAAAATCTATTCTTTCAATAAACTTCATATTTAAAGTTGATTTAAAACCATTATGTGATTTATCTGCTTCTAAAAAATACAAAATGAAAGTACAATTGCAGTGAAAAAAATGGGTATAAACTTAATAATACTTTTAAATATAGAAAAAATATAACACACATGTTGAAATTAGATATTGTAACAACTTTATAAACAATAGAAGTTGTATATTTTGTTTAATAATTTAATTTGTTCAATTTTCCCTATTTCAAATTACAAATGCTTTTTAGACATAACCCTTACATAAATTCAAATAAAACTCTAATATAATGACAAGTTAATGACAAAATTCTACACAAAATCAAAATCCCTAGTAACAAAGTCACTCACTAAGGAATTCCAACAATTTTAAAAATTAAGCCAGGAAAAATCTACTCTCTTAAAATGTAATATGTAAAACCTGTCACATGTTCTGCTTTCTTTTTTAGTTAAAAAAACTCTGAAATAAAATCATCTACTTCCTTTAGGGCTTTACACTTTGTTAAGTAAGCTGATGTAAATGCAAAATTGTATTTTACCCTGCTTAGTATGATAACAGCCAGATTTCTTGATAAAACTAATAATTTTTCCTTGCTTGTCTTTGTAACTAGCTATGCAAAACTTTCTGTTTGAGTCATGTTCACTTTACTTGAATAGATAATTTCCTCAGTAACTAAAAATATAAAACATAAAAAATCATCATGACCAACCTTAGGGTGTCCCATTCACACAAAATTTTTGAATTACCACGCTAACTTTTAAATTGAGGTTTAGACTTAGAAAAAAATAATATTTACCAAGTATTTTTAAAAAATATAAAAATTTAAGGGTCCCCTCATTTAGGAGAGGTTGAGCAAATCCTTTTTTATCGTTTTTTGTGAGTATTTTTGTTCAAAATGTTAAAAAATATATTCCACAACAACTTCATCCTTTCAAACAGTATATATTTCAAACAGTATAGACGATGGCTGCGTCTAAAAATGCGTCTAAAAGGAAAATCTATTTTACTGTTGTTTCTTTAGCAGCGTAGTCAATACATAATTTTGTAAGTTCAAGTTGTTTGTTTTAAGTTTTTTGTTTTAGCAGTAAGTTTAAAATTAAAATTTTTAACATTTTAATATTAATATTATTATTATTTAGTTTTAATATTAGTATTATTAAATAATAAGATTTGGACATAATCAATAATATAATTTGTTTTAACAACAAATTAGTGTTTTAAAAATTTTCAATTACAAAAATCAAGAAATTAAGGTTTTTGTAATTGCTAAGCTCAAAAAAGTTGCTTTTTTTACTTTCAGTAAAGTAATTCACAGAAATTCGTGGAAAAAGTAAGATGCACTCGAAATCATCATCAAGATTACTTTATTGGATTTGGACTAGATAAAAGTTTAAGTGCAGTGTAAAATCTCCCCTTAAAATTGCTTTGCTCAGAATATACCTCTACTTTAGAGAAATCAACAAGGGAAATGGTGAAATAACAGTGTCAGCAAAAAATATTTTTAAAGATATTTTGATTGAATCACAAGAAATTTGGAAAAGAATTCACTTACCAGTTAAGCAAGATTACAAGTGCATCGAGTATTTTATTGCAGTTTTTAATGAATGGCAAAGTGTGTTAAAAAAACAAACCCAGTTTTTGCAATCAATGAATCAACTCTGTGACATATCATCTGCTGAAACATATTACATATTACATGTATCTCGACTTGCAGCCTGGAAGGAGGATTGGGATTTTTTACTGAACCAATGGAAGTATCCACAGGTAACTTCATGCATTATTTCAAGCATAATGCTGCACTGTGTTTACTTAAGTTAATTATTTTCATTTTACATTATTGTATTGTTTACCTCCAATTAAGTTGGTTCGATGATTAGTTGCAACGCAACTCATGCACAGCAAGAGATGAACAAGTCGAATCTCAATGAACGCAAAAGTCGTTTAAGTTTGCAATGGTTTGTTACATAATTTTCCAATCTCGCAATCATCAGTTCACCATAACTGTAGAGTAGAACGAGAAAAACAAGGTGCCCAAATAAAGGAAAATATCAATGAGAAAAAAATGGGTGATTAATTTATTACTTGCTTACTGTTTTAAGTGTTTAGAAATGCAAATATTGAAAAATACTAAAATATTTAAAAACAAACATTTTTGTATGTAAGAAAGAAAGAGGAGCATGTTGCTATTCTGGCTAGTGGTTGGGATGGATCATCAAACAATGCAAACAAAAAAGTTCTAGAAATCCCTGTAACTATCAATTCTACTATAATTCACACCCAGAAAGATGCCTTCATTAAGTGTATTCCTTCCTGGAAACTGTTATATAATTTGATTGCCCTAATTTTCGACACCACTTCTAGTAACACTGGATGAAAAGCTAGATGTGCAGTAATCATTGAGAAAGAAGTAGGTCATGCGCTGTTGTGGACAGCTTGTCACCATCATGTTTACCAACTGCATATTTGTCACGTCTGGGATGCAGTTAATGGAAGTCATAACGGAAACGCTTCAAGACATTTGGGATTCTATTTCTCCCGAGCCTACAGATAAAACAAAATTTGAGTGACCAAAAGAGAACCATTATCTATTCATCGATAGGCAACACTCATTTTGAACTGGACTAGTAGGTGCCTTGAGGAGAATATCTTTCCAAGGGCTTATTTTAATTATCAAGAACTGATTGAACTGACAGTTCATTATCTAGGAGGTGACTCGCCAAAAGGTGTTTAAAAATAATCGGGTGCGCATCATTGTGCAAGATTTATGCACAATGAGCTATATATCTTGAAACTTGTCATGTTGGATCAACAGATTGCATCGCTCGACCCGGATCAACGGCATAAATTGAAAAGAATTGTTAATTTTATTGCTCTCTTTCACGCAAAGGCTTTTTTACAAAGTCGCATCTCAGTTATTGCACTGAAAGATGATCGTTCTGAAAGATGATCGTACATTGCCAATATGCAGTGGTACCGTACATTGCCGATATGCAGTGATATAGACAAAATTGCTTCTGATACAGCCATTCAGTCTTAGTTATCATTCAGTTTTAGTCAGAGTTAGTTATCTTCACAATGTTTGGAGGACCATCGCAAACAAACTTCTCTTCAAGGACAAAAAGAAAATTTAATGAATATCTGATTATTTTTTTAAACAGTGCTAATTGTATCTATCTTACATAAACAGAAGTTAAAATGCTTTAAACCACTTTATTATTTAAATCAGGAGGGACCCTTAAATTAAATTTTTTTAACTCAAATTTTTTACACAGTATAAATAAGATAGTAAGTTATACTGCGTGAAAAGTTGAAGTTGTTGCAGAATATATTTGTAAACATTTTGAACAAAAATACTCACAAAACACGGTAAAAAAGTATTTGCTCAACTTTTTCTAAATGAAGGGACCCTTAAATTTTTATATTTTTCAAAAATACTTGGTAAATATTATTTTTTTCTTAGTCTAAACCTCAATTTAAAAGTTGGTGTGGTAATTCAAAAATTTTGCGGGAATGGGACACCCTAGGCCAATCTGTTGTTGAAAAGTTACAGCAAAAGGACTTGAACCATGATTAAGTTTTAGTTGATGCAACAAGCAATGATAGCTCATTTGAGCAGCAACCACTATCGTATTAGTAGAAAAGAGAAAAAGATACAACCTTATTTATGATTGTATATAGTTGAGGAACAACACAGGACCAAGGACGAAACCTTGAGGTACTACAGAAGTTACTGAAATGGAGGAGAGTGTTGTCTATCAAAAGAATGATAGGAATGTTGTTTGGAACACAAGTTGTAGAAGAATTTAAAACAGAAGTAGGAGTTATTTGGATGTCTACCAATAGCTTAACGATGAATAACAGGTTTGTATATCTCTTGAGTCCAATGATAAAGCGTGAAAAAGTGTGTAGTCATTAGACTCAAGAAATGAATTAGAATAAAAGCTTTTTGCAAATTTTTCTCTAGTTTTCTTGTTTGCCAGTTTTCTACCTAATCCTTGAAAGAAGTAATTAAATCAGACCCATGTATGCAAAATATAAAAATTGCCTTTAATAATGAAGTTGTTAAAGAAGGCTTATTCCATCTTCAGGTATTAATATTGATAACAAAATTCCATCTTCATATATTATTATTGATAGCTAATATCTTTTTACTAATATGCTTAGCCTCACTCAAATCACTCACATGTTTGGAATTGGAACCAGTCTATTCTGATTCACTCCCAACAAGGCTGCAAGCAGTTGGGAGTTACTAGAAAAAAAAAGAATAGAGTTATAGAGCAAGGAAACGGTTGACAGAAGACTTGAAAAGTTGAAGGTTGTATGAGTCAGGAAAACATGTAGATGGAAGAGAGTTCCAAAGGGTTGAGGTGCGAGGAAAAAAACTAGACAAATAAAAGTTTTTAGAAAATACAGGTACAGATACAGTAAAAGAATGAATTTTGCTGAATGATGAGTCAAGCGAGAATGAGTTTTAGTTGATGGAACTAGAGATGATAGTTCCTTTGAGCAGTGACCATGATAGTATTTGTAGAAAAGAGAAAGAGATGCAACTTTACAACAATGGGAAAGAGGCTCAAGCTTAGCAGATAGAGCAGGTCCAACTATGCTTACAATGCGTTTTTGGACCTTGTCTAAAAGAGAAAGAGCTAGACAATCCTACTCACTTTCTAGATCATCACTTACCTTTGCTCATTTTTTTTTTTTTTCTGTGACCCAAGCTTGTGCTCATTTTCTTTTTTTCTTTTTCTTCAAGCCATGCTTCAATTATTGCATAAAACTCATTATTTCATTCATGTCCTTTATCAAATTCATCAGTAGTTCATGCAATTATCTTTAGACTTTTCCATGATTTCCTTTATGATTGAAAACCTTTGCATTTGCAGACAAATGTGCTTTTTATGTCACCTTTTATATTTAGACAGGTTTTTATTCTTTCTCATAGATTTAATCTTTACTCAGCTGCTATTTTCAATTGTAATCATCCAACTTTATTTTTTGATAAGAAAAATTCTCCTGAGAACAATCATTTAATCATTACAAAAAGGTCTTT